TTTCGGAATATTTCGAATCGACGTGGCGGATAAATTCGAATTTCCAGTATATTTCAATTCCTCGACGGGGTAATTTATGTCGCGGATCGCCCGCCCCCGCTCTACTTTACTATGCTAATTTTTCCCCTGTCGGGCGCCCCGGCCCCGTTCGCGCCTAAAGAACTTAATATCGGTAGAGAACGCGGTAGTAAACGCCAGATATAAATTCCGCGGCGGCGTCTAAATTAGTGGTTTTCGACGTTTCTGCGGAAAAGTGCTTAGTTTCGATTTCCAGCCGGCGTATCGATCCCCGGAGAGCGATTAAAAAGTTTTTGCGTATATACGGAAACCGACCGTCATTGGGGGATGATAGAAAATAAACAGCCGAACGGATTTCGATTTCCTTCGTCGGCGGCTCACAAAGCTTCCAAACATTGCAAGTATGCGATAGGAGCACATTAACTGGTATGTGCTTTTAGTTTCGTATGTGTAGTGTGTACTATACTACACCTGTGTTTGTTTTGTATTATGTACGCTAACTTATTCCTTAACCGGAGTTGGTATTTTCTCATGCGAGCATCCACCAAAATTCTCAAAACTAAATCTACTACCTATTTAGAACAACCACCAAAATTCCAATAACTCCATAAGCACAATTAATTGGCACCAAAATTACAAACTTATAATTTCAAAAACCGAACACTAATTCTAGTTTATTCCACGATGAACAGGATTAAAAAAATCGCTTTAATCATCAGTTTTAATTCCGATAACGGGACGGAATTAAAAACGCCGGTCTATCGACTGGAAGATGTCTATCCCGGCCGAATATTTAACTAAAGCGCTCTAATAAAATTTCCGCGATAACGGCCGGGAAAAAAAGTCGAAAATACCGCGACCGGCGAGAATATTTCACGAGTGACGCGACGTTTTGACGTTGCAATATTCAAATTGGACAAGTCCCGTTTGTAATCCGGAAACAATACACGAGGTGTATCGAATTTATTTCGGAATTCAAGGAAATTCGTGCTCTAAAGGGTTTGTTTGTTTATTTAATAATGGTAATGGGAAGCAGCGAGGAGATAGTTGAAGAGAAGCAATTCTTTTGTAATTGCGCGATTTGTCTGGGACTCCAGAGGAAAATGCAATGCTTATCTTATGTAGTTTAGAATTTTTATTCAGCTTGAAATACTCACTAAATATTATTTTTAATATCTATCATTTTTATGTGAATTTAAGGGAAAATAGTTAATAATTACAAAGAGTTAATTTTTTTGCTCTTGAAGGTAAATTAGAACGAGGTTTAATTAAATTTCCCTCCAGTCTTTCGTTTTTTTTCAGTGTTTCAGTAAATACTAATTTTAGACTATAAAGTGTATACTTCAAATAAAATATTCCAAATAAGAAAAATCGATATTCGAACTTTCGAAAAATATTAAAATTACTTCAACCGAGGAAATTATACCAGTGCAATAAAGTTTCAGTTTTCGCTGCAAATAATTTATCACAGGTCATTTTGAATACTTAATAGATTTGTTCCATTTCTTAACATACAATAGATAATACGAGAAAATTACATATATCTTACAATTACCAGAACAAATTTCGCACTCTTCTGTATATAAAAAAAATCCAATTTAATTACCCCTATATACAAAAAAATAATCCTACCTTAAAATTTCCCCAATCGTCCCCAATAAATCCCACTTCTGAACTCGACAAAACGATCAAAGCTCGAAACTTCGAACTCTTCGCTCTGTGCACCAGCGTGTACCGCCTCCGGCGCGCTCGCGTAACGTACTAACCGGCCGTCGCGACGGGACTACCGGCGTCGCGACGCGCCGCTTCTGCTCCTTCGCCGAAGAGCCGGAATTCAGACGTCGCAGGCGTCGAACGTCCCCGTCACACTGACCCTGATTTACATTAAAGACAACAATAGATTCCCGCACGTTCGCGTCCGGATACCGGCTCACGCGGAGCTATTTACGAGCTGGATTTTCACCTACAATTGAAGTGCGCTCGAAGACGCTAAAAGCCGCGAGGGTTTAATCCCGATGGATGCGACGAGGGCGCGTTTTGGAGTCGAAGACACCATCCGCATTAACGCGACCTGTGTTATCCGGTTTCCGGCCCTTCTGCGGGGAGTAAAATTAACACGTGCAGTGGAACGGGGGCTCTTCGGCGGCGCGATTTTCCGAAAGCGGAGCTATTAACACCGGCGAAATTACTGATTGCGGGATTGCGGGCTGCCGCGGCGCTCCGAGACTTGCCTAACCGAAATATTAAATTTCCACTCACTAATTACAAACGAGAGGCATTAGGCGAATAAAAACGCGAACAAAAAAATGTTGTGGGGGGATTTATGTTACTGGTTGTACGGCGGTTTAAATTGGGGAATGTTGTATAGGGATTTGTTGGTGGATTATTATTTGTTTTGATGAAGGGTTTTTTAGGAAGTTTTGTAGTATTTTTGTATAGTTTTTTTGAAGATTTGATGTATGGATTAAGTTACTTTAGATGGTTATTTTAGACTTTTTCAACATTTTTCAGACAATTTTAGTTGATTATCTCATATTACACACAAATTTTACCAGTATTTTACAATTTTCTTTACTTACACAGGGTCCCTAATAAAATGTAGCTCCTAATGAGCTTATAATTTTTAAACGTCTAATCATAAAAACATGCGGTTTTCTCAAATATGTTTTATTTTATTAGATGTTTTGTTCAGTGATACAGAAATTATGCATTACCAAAACAGGGTGTTTTATCAAATTCTCCTCTTTTAAAATCACAGTTTAACATCCTGTATCTCGAAAATAAAGCATTTGCGGACATTTTTTCATGCAGAATTACCCCCTGAAGTTTATCTTACTTTTTAATTAACACTATATAGAGGTATTATGAAAGATATACTCTTCTACTTTTCAAAAATGTATTATTTCATTGGGACACCCTGTATAACACTACTTATACAAACCTATTACCTCACCAAAATCTCCCCTAATATGTCCAAAGTTAATCTACAAATCCCAACTGAAAATCAACGTGATTAACTAAAATTTTTTGCGCTTTCGCCATCAACCATATCAATACGATTGGATGAGCCGGGACCTCTTAGATCCTCGGATTAGCCATAAAGTGCTCCGATGATTAATCCCCTATTAGATAGCGTTATTGATTGATAATACCTTTCATTCGGAACGTACACTATTAGGTCGAAACAGCAATCTTCATTACAAGCTCAGTTAGGGAATGTTCGCAACATTGAGATTATACCATTAAATGAATTTATACCCAGATATCCGTCATCCATCGTGTTTGTTAAACACAAATTGATCGGTTGTGACTAAACCGGGACGGAGACGTTAACAAAACCGACATTAATAATTGTCACGGGCGCCCGGATGAGATCGTGAGGATGTCGTTGAAGGTCTACATTAGCCGTGTAATCGCCCGAAATTGAATCATTAGAAGAATCTAAGAAAGTGCGCTTTGAATTCGGAAATTTTCGAAGGACCTCGGCGGGATTTTTTTTATATGATAAATGACTTTTCTCCTCCACATGTTCTCTTTACATTAGGAAAAACTCTGGGGGCCGAGCGGAGAAATACTTCCGAACTTCTCGGGAGATATTATATCACTTTTTTATTCTATACGAGATTCTGTCAGGACTGCTGAACTTCATATGTGCCTTTCTAAAAGATGTACTGAATAATATTCCGAGTTGTGAAAAGAATAAAATTATACGAGATATCCAAGTCGGCTAAATATATAATAAAATAAATATAACATTTCTGTCACTTACAGCGTTTATCATAAAAAAAAGTTTCACGTTAAACCGCTGAAACTCGTATATCATCTAATGTGTTACGTTTTTTTAATAAATCTATTATAATCTGGAGTATTTTTGTGCGTGCGACCGGTCGATTTTAAGAGATTTGTAAGCGATTTGTCGAGAAACTCGCCTATTAACGAGCTTTTACCACGGAAAGCTTTTTACCCAGAAAACTACAAACAATTCCAATAAATGCTTTACTTAGAAAAAAAATGAATTATTATTCTTCGAGAAGTGTGGTACAAAAACGCTTATTACTAATTATACTTTTCGTGTAGTGAAATAAAATTTTCGGGAAAGACAAACGGTGTTGAAGGTTTTTCGAGCATCATTGACTTTTAATAAAACTCTTCAAGTCGACGGTAAAGAATGAGGTACTTTTAAAAACGTGTCACTTCTCCCCTTTTCACTTTCACCTTTTCGGGGTTTAATACCGTTAATCCCGAGAAAACATAAAAGCTAAATAAAACTAATAAAAGCACTTCTTCCACTTAACTTGGATTTTAATATTCACCCTCGGAGCCGAGGCATATTTTTCCTCTAACTACGTTTGTTACCGACAATTCCGCCTCCGTTTCACTTCTGCAATAAGAGATATTGCGTTTGTTTACATTAGCATATTTCGAGGAAAAGGGGGGCCCATAAGTCGTGCATCATTTTCTAAATTAAAAAGCCGTGCTTTCGTAATGAACATTAAATATTTGGTCTCCTCGAAGCGATACCTTTGAATTATTTATATTGCGCGATTTTTGTTTATTATTTAGGGGACGATTCGTATTTTATGCTCCGTCGTCGGGCTCGGTAACTTTCCTATTACGAAGTTCGGTCCCGGTAATTGTTCCGGCATAAACTATTCCTGCTCTCTCCATGTTGAAGCTGCTGTTAGATGTCATCGCGAATTACCGTCTGCCATATTTTTCAACTCGAAACTTATGCAGGTGCTTAGAGAATTGAGCGAGTAGAGAGAGAGACACGTTATTTATGTATAAATGGAAGAAATAATAATAACGTTTGGCTTGTCGTTAATGTCCCGGTCGAAATATATATAAAGCAGAAGTTAATCTCGAGTTGTTTTGACGTGGAAAGATTCCCAGAAAATCGTTGCCCAGTTATTAATTGACTTTCCCAAAGAGAATTGGATTCATTAATCATTTTTTATAAGACAGTAAATACTTTCTTGTATCTATTATAGTGCGTACTCTAATGAAAAATACACCATATCTTTTTTTTGCTTCGTTTTAACTATAATATTATAGCCTATAGAAATACCACTATTTTTTATATCTTTATAAATGGTCATATTTTATTTTGCTTTGGTTATTTTCTCCATATTGACCCAAACTCCTCCTTCGACGCCGCTGATGAACTGGGAATTTAAGGATAAAGGCAGTTGCATTTTATCGCTAGCGGTGAGTTTGTAATTTTTTAACAACGCTATAATCCCGCATTTGGCCTCCAATTTCCCGAATCTCATGCCTGTAAAAAATTCACGTTAGCTTTTCGGGGCGAAATTAAATCGAAATCCTACCGATGCACACTCTCGGTCCTTCCCCGAAAGTGTAAAAACCGGAATTGGATCTGCTGTTGTTTTCCGGATTCCACCTATCGGGATCGAATTTATCGGGGTCCGGGTAGATATCTGGATCGCGTTGTATCGCACGTACAGGTATTTGCACTGATGTTCCTTTTTCGATCGTTAGATCATCTCCTGGTACTCGATATGTTTTCGTGCAAATTCTCGGGATGATCGGTATCGGCGGATATTTTCTTAAAGTCTCTATACAAAATAAACACCAATATTTTCCTAACTCCCTTGAACATTTTTATACCAAACTCACCCTGTAATACTTGCTCTAAATAAACCATTTCGTTAATAGCATCGTAGGTTAATTCCCCATTATGCTTCTCTAGCATCTTCCATATTTCTTTCCTCAGCTTCTCCTGCACGTCAGGATTGAGTACCAGCTCAGCTACCATAAAGCACATAGTCGTTGCAGATGTTTCGAATCCTGCTAGGAAAAATGTAAACGAATGTGCCACTATTTCGTTTAGGCTAAAATAAGGGGTTCCTGCGGTTTTACCCACCTGCTGAACACTCTCACCCTCACTAACAGAACCTACAAAAGTAACCACAAAACAAATTATACACGCCACGACTAAGTTAGCTTGAGTGAGTTATATGTATTGAGTTACCTGTATTTTTAAGTTCGATTAGCATTTGCAGGAAATCTTTTCTGGTCGCTTTGTTGTCTTCTCTGTATTTAATAGTATCGGAGACTAAATCGAAGAAGAATTTCTCGACTTCGGGATCGTTCAGTTTGAAATGCAGCGCTTTGAGCATCCAATGTGGACAATACCTGTGAGCGAGCTTTTTCAATTTTCCGTTCAAGTTGAACGCTTTGGTGCACATCCTTCTGAATTCGTTGTCCGGCTCGTTCATGCAGTTGCATTCGATGCCGAAGGCGACGGATCCTGCGCCGGAAAAACATGAAAATTCGCGAAATTTTCAGGTAAATATTGTGACGCTCACCGATGATGTCGCTGGTGAATCTGGCGAGGATTTCCTTAACGTGCAGGGGCTCCCCCGAGCGGGCTTCCTTCTCCAATAGCCCGTCGAGTCGGCGGCTGCATTCGACGAAAGCGTGGAACATCATTTTCATCTTGCCTGCGAGAGGGAAAATTAGCCGGGAATATTCTCTTTTTTGAATTAATTATGGTTTACCGGTGGTGAAGGTGGGCGTTAATTTGGCGCGGTGATTCCTCCACGGCTCGCCTTCCAACTGGAATAATCCCCCTGTCAGGGGATCCGCCGCGGGATTCGAATACGTTCCGTGGTCGACGAAGTGCTGGAAATCTTTCAGGAATACGCGCTTGATTAGATCTTGCTCGACGGGCACGAATGTCGGGGTGAGGCCTTCGTACAAACCGCCGTGTTTTAAGCCCTTTTTCTTTAAGGTTTTGTAGAGCTCGTCGTAGAGTTCGAAGCGCTTTTTTTTACCTTCAAATTTTTATAAATTGATTTATTTTTTTGATGATATTTTAACGAAATATTTACCTTTCATGACGTCTTCTAAGTGCCCGTAAGGGAAATTCGGTTCTGTGGCGTACACGCCTTTCGATTGCCAGTAATTGTACCGCCATTTTTTGAAAATGTAAAACGACAAATATAAAATTACAATAATATAAATGAACATTATCGCAATTGTCTACTACAATTAAATTTATTTTACTCCACATTTTATATGAAAAATTACTAATCCACATTCTACTTCTGTTATCAAAATGCAAATTAAACACGTTCATCGAGATTATTCTTATCTCGAAAAACACTCTTTACATAACGAATAATTAGTTGTATTATACCGATTCTCCCAGCGTTCAACGTGTTAAATATATCGATCAAAATCATCCATTTTCCATCCCTTTCGTAAATTTCTCTACGGAACCTCCCCGATACAAAATCGTTAAAGCTGCCGCAATAATTCAGTAGCTTCACCCTCCGATAGATGTCGCTCGTATTAACCCTCCACGCGAAATTATTCTATTGAAACGAGCGGTAGAGCGTAGAGAAAAAAAAAGGCTCGTTATGAAAAGAAAACAGCATTTCCATTCTCCTTATTTCATTCCGCCGTTTCGCTAGATGGGATTACGTTATTAAAAGTTATGTAAACTGATATTATAGACTTTAATGTTCCATTGAAGGAAAGCGTGCTGGTTTTTTTTGTATAATTCAAAAGAGACTGGTATAGAAAAAAAAAACGAGCGCGTTGCTTGATGGAAAATACTTGAATATAGGAAATATAATATAATACAGTGTAAAATAAATAAATTAGCTAGTAGATACACGGTTTTTCCTCAAATAAAATATCTACTCAATTAAAAGTTGGGGTGAATTGTAATCGATTTTCGATCGACGAATGGTACAAAAACTTTGTCACCGACGGCTTTTCAATCCGCTAATTGCGCTGTTAGAGCCCCAGGGCGGCAAAAAACGCGAGTCCGCGGAGACCGGTAAAAGGACGAGTCGCGAACTCCCATCTCCCATCAGGATTCGGGCTCGCGCTCCGTCCCCTCCGGTCAGGATTGTACGGGTTTTGTTGTGCGCCGGTAATTAATTGTTTTATTGCCGGCGACGGGTTAAATTAGGGACAGGTGGAGAGAATGAGAGTTTTAACAAGGTTCGGCAAGACTAATCAATTAGCCGAACGATTGGAAATGGCGCGGCCGCGGGCTGATTTTTCCCTTTGTCTTCCACAAAGGAATCGAATTAAAATGCAGTTTTCCGCATCCGGTTTCCCGGCCGGTCTACAATAACGAACTGCTAATTAATAATTTCTTATTGTGTGCTCGACTTTGTTCCTGACTCAACGGTCTCTAATTAATTTACTTGTTTTATTTTTTGTTCATCTCGTATATTTTATAATATACAAGGTGTTCCTTGGCCTTATATACAGTATTTAGTAATAAAGGCTTAAGTACGTATTACAAAAATTAATAATAAGATAAAAGATATTGGTGTTTTTAATAATACAAGAGTCCTTGTACGAGCAGCCTCCACTGGGGGCATATTAAAAAAATAAATGAAAGAAATCCGGTCGATATTGAATGGATCTTACTGTTTTTATTAATCCGGAAATAAAAAGAAATTGCATAATTTATTTCAGTCGGTGTTTTCGGATTTTCTTTTATTAAACTGTTCTTTTGATTTATCTGGAATGATTTCAGGGATAATTGGAATGAAACGCTAACGGTGCTTTATTAAGGTTTATTAGAATTATAAAATAAATATCACACGAAATGGATACATTGAAAGAACTGTGGACAGAGAAACTGTTAATGGCGGAAAACGATTGTATTGTTTCCCTATATGAGACTAATTTTAATTAATTAACTCATGAAATTTATTTTATTTTATATTTATCGTATCGTGATGAATTTTCCACTTGTAGTGACATTGAGCTTATGAAACAATATTAACAATATCTTATGAAGATAATTTGAAGGCTATAATTTACATAAAATTTGATACAAACTTTCAATTTACAGTTTATAAACTTCACACTGTTTGCCAATCGTAAGTTTGGATCAATTTTTTAACAAAAAAATACCACCTCTTTTACAAAAAATATTAAAATCGAAAATAGTATAGATACCTACTATTTGGTGAAATATTTATATACATACATATGAACTGAAAGTGTTGTAAATCTTAAAACTTTTAAAACTACTACATATTTTACCTAAAATCTAAATTTCTATAGGCATTGGGGAATTCTAAATTTGAATTGTGATCGATAAATTTCAGTAGGTAACAATAAATTAACATTTTTTTTTAATTTTCGTATAAGTTTAGTTGAGCTTTTTTTATACAAAGGTATAATTTTTAAATTGTTATATTAATTGTACTTAATACTAGATACCAATCGAATTTATTTACAATTATTTATTTTCAACAAAGGTGACTGAAATTATTACAATCGTATAAACGTGTAAATATACCAGAATTACAGACAATATAATTCCTTTTAAACAAACATATTATCAATATGACATTTCATTCAACTTCGAATTAATTATTTTTATTTTATTTGCCATTTAATTAGCTAACAAAATGAATACAATGAAAATAATCAAATAAAGTGAAACGAATTTAAATTGAAAGCGGCATAAAATACATTCGATTGCAAAAAACACATAGTAAGCTCAGTAAATTCCAGTCACTGTTTCACCATATATTTTTGATATGTTTTCAATAGAATCCGAAACTAAACCGCATTTTAATTTTCCTCATTATTCATCAGATGAGCATTAAATCTATGCATTTATGTGCATCATACAAAATATATATTAATTCATCTTTACTTTAACACGTTTAAATCTATCAGTACGATTTTAAAGTTACCAAAAGAAAATCCAACATTTTTTAATAAAACTTCAACTAAATCGATGATGAAATATAGTTGTAGGTATACTCAATGTTATTTTCTCGCAAGTTATTTTCCGGAATCGATAAAATGAAATTATCTAACTATATAGAACACATCCTTGTCACTTTTAAAGTAAAGGATCACATCCGCATTGCGTCGTCTCTGTCGCCGGATAAATTTTCACATCACATCTAATATAAATACATGAAATTCCACAAGTTGAATTCAAAGTGACGGGGTGCAATATGGATCGTTTCTTTAATGAACAACTATTAATCGTGCATTCAAATTACCACTGTTTCTTATTTTTCTCGAATAAATTTAATTACACCTTATGTACAAATTCGTATCAGACTTTATTTATAAAAGATACAACTGGACGAAAATCAATTAATGCCGTTTCTCTCATCGATAATTGACGGTGATAAATTCACGATATAGTTTACGTCTTGCGCTTACCACGGAATATGTATTTGCTCAAAAATAGCATGCTCGTCACGTAAACCGTAGCCCATTTGAGGCGATCATACTAAAGAGCATCGTTTGCTTCTAGAATAATTGAATCCTCGAATTTCAAACACGATATATCACAACCATTGTAGGTGTTCGGTTGGTTCTCTATTTACTATCAGATGGTCGGATAGCGAGACGGATTATTTAACGCAAGTAATTTGATTTGTTATACAGAGTATCTCATTTCAATGTGGTACACCCTGTATAGCAAATCATGTTGCTACCTGGCAATTGAAACGTACACGCAAATATTTATTGTGAACCGTCGTCTCCTTTTGATCGATGGCGGGTTTTTGCAAACGTTTAATTGATCCATTTTTGTTCCGATGGAAATCCGCTATGAAAATTTCATCAATCACCTAAAGCAAGGGAAATGTATCGTTTTGACGTTTCCTGCGAATAAGCGACTCCGGTTTAGATTATTCCGGGAGCGATGAGTTTGCTTGGCGTGATTAAAAATCACGTAGCGACTTTATAGCAGTAGATTTGCAATTTTTTTCGAGCCGTTTGAAGGTAATATTTTTCCAGCGGATACGAATTTAACACGCACGCTCGGCGGCATTTTCATCCAGTTCAATCTGTTTTGGACCGATCTGTTGATTCTCACTAAATTTTACACTACAAACAACAAAGCGACTATCAACCCCAACAACGGTTTTTTATCATTATAGCCGGTAGAGCTTAGTATCTCGACGCCCGGCGGACTGCCCTGTTTCACCGTGATGGGAGTGGGCCGGTACTCGGGCGGGCAGGGCAGGTCTCTCACCGGTATCGACATCAAATAAACGTAACCGTCGTCGCCGTTGTTGTCGTCGGTATCGTCCGGATAGTCGTTGGCGTAGGTCTCGTCCACGGAATTCGTGTAAATCGACGACGAACACACCGAATGTTCGGCCGCTTGCGTCGTCGCCGCCGCCTTATCGACGTTCCTCGTGCACTGCATCTCCTCCAAGGAGCGCCGGATGTGGGCCTGGGCCGTCTTGTCGTGCAGGACGAACACCCAGTCCAACCGGCAGTCGCAGCTGAACTTGTTCCCTGAGAAAAAACAGATGCATTTTTATTAGAAACTGAAAAGAACTGCACGCTTGAGTTGGAAGATTTGACTCGCGTGAAGCTATCAAAAAAATTAAAAAAATCATACATCATAATTTAGTACTGTTTTAGTGCTAATTTAGTGTCAGCTTTCTAATTTTAGTGCTCGTCTGGTTGAGTTGAAAGTTGCAATTAAAAATGGCGGTGCTAAGTTTATAAAGCTAGCGCCACCACATTTAAATATTTGAACAAATTTAAAAAATAATATATCGTAATTTAGTGCTATTTTAGTACTTTCTAATGCACTACTCAGAATTTTATTTAAGATATTAATCTTAAAGATATTTGATAAAAACATATTGGAGGCGGGTGAAGATTTGTTGTTGATTATACTCCGTTCGCTATCGCACAATTAAAATGATTTTTGAATGAGATACAGCATATGTGCAATAAATTTCAATTAAAATATTTCGCGATAATTGCGTTCGGCGTGAATGCATGCGAGATTGATTGGGGCCACGCACGGCTACCTTGGCCGCGACAAGATGCAATTTAATTAAAATTTCAATTAGGTAATGAAATTATATATGTTTCAATTAACGCGACGTCGAGGGCCGCGGGCGGCCACAATCGCGTATTAGAAACGGTTTAATGAAGTGCGAGGCCGGGGCGGGCGCACTTGTCGAATTATTAAAGTGAAAATTTAATATTTATATCGAATTTGTCTTTGGCCGCCGGCGGTTTTTCCGAAAACCGTGAAATTGCCGTTCGGCGCTCAGCGAATTTTGAGGTTTTATGGATGGTTGATTAAAATTAATTGAATAATTTCTGTGTTGTAGATATTTGATGTTTATCAGTAATATTATCTATCTAGTAATAGATTTTGTAAGTTTTTTTATTGAATGAAATTACTAGTCGTGCAGTACAATAGTAAACTAGGAATACAAAAATATTCTATATTGAATATAAACTGCTCCACAAAAGTTAAGGAAGTTCGCAAATTTTGCGATTATTTTAAAAGTTACAGACTTTTTAAGATTACCAAATTTTCAAATATGCGAAATTAAATGTTTTCTCTCATATCCGAGTGCGGATTTTTTACCCCTACTTCTACAATTCATACTAAATTTGGCGATCAAAAAACCTGCAACTTTTAAATTAATCTCAATATTTGTGAACTTCCTTAACATTTGTGGAGCAGTATAGTATATTCCATTAAAACATAGCCCTATTAAAAAAAGTAGTTGATGATAGTTCCACAAAAACAAAACGTTATTTCAGATTAATCTTAGGTACGTTTCATGCTTAGAATAAACTCCAAACATTCAGCATTTAAACGGCTCTAATTACACGTAAACTAAAAACCCCCATCGACGAAAACAATTTGCAATATAGCAGCACTACAAAAAAAAACACCGAGTAATTAAAGATGTAATCAGCATTCCGCTTTTCGCCGAACAAGGAATCACGCACATAAATCTGAACTCCTTTTTATTTCGTCGACGAACAATGGGCGAAAACCTACAATATTCGCTGAAAGGAAAGTTCACATTTCCATGCTAGAACACTTTTCGAATAGGCGGTCGCCGTTCCGCGCGGAGTCCCATCAACCACCATTGTTGTGCCCCCGTGTACTTCTGTGCGGGATGCGTTGCATGCGCGAATCGAAAAAAAAAGATGTACGAAACAATCCGGCGCCGAAATTCGTTCGGTTTAATTAAAAAACACATCACCCCACGTAAACGGAATAGCTGAACATCATAATTAAGAGGGAACTGATGATTGTGTTATGGAAATACCACGGATTATTTGAAAAAAAAAAAAAGAATGAAATGAAAAAATGCATACTGTGTTTAAGGAATAGTTACATCAGTTTGCCTCTGAAATAGAATTGTAACAGATTGATTGCGTTTGAATTAACGCATTATAAACCATTAGCATCTTTGTTAATTGAGCCGTAATATTAGTTTATGGAAATTGCGTTGTGCATTTTGTATTTAATTTCGACGATAAATATTGGACGCCGTTTCGGCGATTTGCGAATTTAATGAACAAACATTTGCTTTCTCGTAAATCAGGTTTATAAATACTTGTATTAGAGTTTAGGAGGCAGGGTTTGTCCCGTTTAATAGAAATCGAAAATGTACTTTGATGTCGCTATTTTTTTTATTAAAATTTAAACAAACCGAATTGAACTATGGGTAGTAGGTTAAAGCACTCAACAAATATTTGGTGTGTTAAATAAATACTGTAAACGAACATCAAAGAGTATGTAAATATATTAATTAAATGAAACGGTTATTAATTATGAACGTATAGATAATTATAATAATTGGAAATCCGAATTTACCTTTACTATTAATTATATTATTGCATGTTTGTGCAGGGATTATATCTATTTTGTTTAGTTAAAATTATATTTAACCGAATCCTCCAAGTCATTTATATTTACAAAAATCAACCGATAATTTCCTTGTTAATTTCGATTTACACTTGTCGAGTGATTTTTTTTTTGACTGTGGAATTCGTATTCGAACCGGTATTTATACCACAGACGACAATTTCCGAAGCAGGTGTCGCCGCGACGCCCCCTAATCAAGCGGGTTCGCATCTCCCGACGCTCCCGAAATTAACGTCCCAATGATGTCCTGGAGTGCGGACACGCCCCGGTAGCCACTCAGCCTCCCGGATTTAATATAGCCCCCAAAAATGCGGGGGGTCGCGCATAAAATGGAGCGATAATCGCTCGCCGAGCGGCGTAATTAAATTTGACGTGTAAGCAGTGTTACCAACTTAGTTTTGTAAAATGCTGCCAACTTGGTTAGCAATTGAGTCGCTGGATGTAACTACTGGTTTTTTTTATCTCTAAAGTAAATATTTCATGAAAAGCTGAAGTTTCCTGAAATCCATACAGAGCAGGAACGTTATTTTACTCTGGAGAGGCGTTGAGATTACTTTGAGTTTGTTATTTTTTTTCCTTCTTTTCGCTGTGACTGGGGTATTTTATAAACTTTATTTCGAACGGGGCAAAAATGGTTTGTATTTGTACGATTTAATTTTTAAATAACATAAAGCACCGTTCGTGTGGAAATAATAAATTGAAAAAATATATTTAATGGTTTTTCAGCATGCGAATCCGTCACGATGGCGTCAATTTGAAGGACAGCTGCATTAAAACATCATTTAAAGGTGAGTGCTTTATATTAATAAGTAGGTTAATAAATATATTTTTTACAGTTATTTAATTTTTAAACTTTTAAAACAAATATGCGCCCATCTATATTGATGGCTTTTGTTCGAAATTAAAATTATAATATAATAATCTAATAATTACTTGAGGGCAGGATTCAATGACTCTTATTCGAATATTCGCCTATGCAGGTATTGAATTTACAATGCCGGCATAATTTAATGGAAATTTATTCAATAACTACATTGTTTTAAATATCAATATTGTGAATTATTAATATTTTGGAAAGTACGCCAATTAAATTGAAACGATTAAAATATTAATAAAGTAATTTATAATGATGAATATCTAACTATGGGTCGAATTTTTGAATACTTCATTGCATTGATTGATTTAATTATACTACGTATATACCTATTTATAATCCAATTTCCAAATATTTTAATATTTACCGTGAGTGTAGCAATTTTGTGTAGTAGGTACAATTGCAATGTACCTACGGCAAATTTAAATACTCTTGTAGAGTTTTTATGCAGATATTCTTGATATAATTCTCTCGACCTGATTCCGCCCGAAACGCGTATGGAATAGGTCATAATTTACTGCGTGAGATTCCCTCTTCCCGGATTGTATCGCATCCATTTATTCCTTCCGTCTCGCTAACAGGAAAGGCGTGAATAAGCATTTCTTTTTTTCGCACAAGCGATATCAGTTGTCTTTTGTATCCCTATTTCCGACAGAAATCTTCATTCTGCGAAAACTTCTCGGGCAAACTGAAATTTACGGCGATTTTATGAAGACTCCCCGGCACAATTTAGACGAAACAACGCGCTAATATTAATTAATTACATCGGCTAATGTACTTTCGACTTCGGTATTTGTGTAGGTATACTTCAAATAACTGCATAAAACTTTATTACTGGAATATACGCGCTTCGAACTATTCGGGCGAAACTTAGTAAACTTGTTATTGAATATTATTACCCACTGATTGAGCCAAAGGAAGTTTCCGGTATGCTTTTACGTATTCCTGCATTTTTATCAGTAAAAATGTAATTCGATTTTGTTGCAAGCATAAAGTTCTCTCGCAAAAAAACCTCTATAATTTATCAGAAGCTGGAAATTTTTTTGTAACGAGCTTTTTTATGATTAACTAAGTTTTGGATGACTCCGGTTCTGTGTTATTAGCAAAATAAGGTTGCGAATTAATTCAAATGAATTCTGCGGACTGGTCATTGCGAAATATATTACTCGGAGCGCGGAATGACCGGAGTCCGATATTAGTATTGCTTTGAATATTAGGTTCGAGCGTTGTAAATTTCTCCACGGGAGCTTATTGAAACCGAAATTGCGCCCAGGTAGAGTGCACAATACTTCGTCCAGGACATCCATAGGAAATGTCCAAAAATTAAATTTTCCGCTACACGCGGTTTTCAATCTGCGTGATGCAAATTGGAATTTCGATGGGCGCACTTTTTGTTTGCAGGAGAGCTTTGATTCGATTTCGCGATTTAATTGAATTTTAAGGTGTTGCGGACGCCTCTCGATTAGCCGGGGATTCTTTGACACTCGATCTCGAGACTTAACAAGCGCGCGAACCGGACGGGTCCCCTCAAAGAGCTTCTCCTGGAAAATATCTCAATCTACAAAGCCAGCCGAGTACAAAGAGTGCGAGGGATGTTCCGGTCGAGCCGAGGGATAATCTATCACTAATATCGACTTGTAACTCAATAAATTTCGAGCGGGTCGGTATATTTTCGATGAATTACCATTTATGGATTATGAGCAGCGAACGGTGTCGGAGGATACCTCG